TTTTAGTGTTCTGTGAGTGTACCCGACTGCCAGGTCAGGTATTTCAGGCGCAGAGGTAAGAGGATTTGCTAGGGCTTGCTAACACCGTCCTGCCGTGCCACCAGAGTACATGGGTGGATTGTTCTGGCCGGAGACTGGAAGTTCATAATAATCATTGGATTTAGCGGAAGATTGAACTGCCATTTTTTTAGAGCAGTTCTGACCTAGCTGGCACGCTAGGTTCAGATTTCTCTAAATAGCTTCAAACCCACCTACTTGCACTCATATTACAAGAATCAGCATCATGAATTACTTATATTTATGAATTAATAAAAGCCAAATATGACACTGGAAATTTTGTTCTGGCTTCATACCAGAATTTGAGACTATTGGTGAATTCACAGTAGTACCAGATAATCTTGATTTTCAGAGTTTTCATAACCTGCAGCACTTAGAATTAGGTTCGCTGTGCAGAACTAAACGCGTAAAAATTTTTCAAACTATTGCTTGCATAAGCATAAAGGCTATCGTGAAAAGTTACCAAAATTTACATTCAGAAAATTTTAATGCATATTTTATTGAGAAAGACTAGTGCCTGTCTGGTGTTCAGCAGCAAAAAACGGATGAATGTTAAAAAAACAGCACTCACCAAGAGAAAATCTAGTATTAATTGGGCTTCAGGATACCAGGGCTGCATCTAAGCAGTGATTTTTCCCCTCTGAAAAGAATCAACATTTTCCTATTCCTTTTAGGTAAATAGGCAAACTTTCTCTCCTTTTTAGCTGGGAAGAAAAAGACGTAAAATGGTGAAAGATCATCTTGGAAGGGAATTCTGGCCAGTGACTAGAAGTTGATAATAATCACTGTATTTAGCAGAAGATTGAACTGCTATTTTTTTAGAGAGGGAAATGTTGTTCTTGTGGTGGGGCTTGCATCATGATTTTCTTCAGCTGAATTGCCTGTTGGGTTGTTTGGCTTAGTGTACCTTGCTCTCTCATTTTGATCACTTAAAATTGATTCCGGACCTCGTAACAGTTTTCTGCGAAATTCCAGTCTTGGCTAATTAAAGAAGGAAAGCTAGTGTTGTGCGGTAGTTGAGAATTCTAATTTGTGTCTCGGCAGCTAAACCCATCAGCCATCCTGGCCTCCTGCAGCCAGAGCCACCGCTCCCACAGGAGGCAGCGGCGCCCGGGAAGTTGGTGTATTGGTGGGGCCGCCCGGGAGTAGCTCCTGTTTCCCATAGGTGCTGCCCTGCCATATGCTGCTTCCTCAGCCAAGCGTCCCGCGTTAAGGGGGCGAGGGTGCATGCCTGTTTCCCCTTAGACGACTACTGAAATGGTTGTCTCTTTTATTTTACAGGAAAGTGGCAAGAAACTTGAAGAAAACATTTATTATTTTGGAACTACAGTGAGAGGACTGCTAACTAGGTTTGGCAAGGTAACTATTATTTTTTCTGTTGTCTTCATTATCAAATAGTTAATCCTCAACCACCCTGGCCTCGCTAGAATGTGGAGTGGACTGTGCGTATGGGAAGAGCCAGGACTTCCTTTACACAACACATTTCTGTTGAATACGAAGAAATGCAGTGAAATTCTGTACTTGATGGAATGGACAACTTCTGTTTGAACAAACAAACAAAACCCAGCAATCTCAGTGAATGAGTTGTCGTCTTCTACCTCTGTAGGCACAAATGCTGCCTGCACCAGTCACTGTTTTAAGTAAAGTACTTTGCTGTGAGCAGTGACTGGAACCCCTTTCCCTGTTGCCAAATGAAGAGCAAACCAGCAGGTTTTGAATTTATGCTCTTCATCCATATTGTACCACAAAGGAATCTGTAATTGTGCCATGCAAAGTGATGTAGTTAAAATGGGAGAGACTGCACTTGGAGTAACCTCCGTTTTCAATTTTGTGACGTGCTCTGAGAATGCTCATCAGACCAGGCCTTGCCACATTCCACCTTACCTAATACATACTTTGAACAGGATTAATATACTTGGTACTTTAATTTTAGTGACTTTGGCATTTACCAAAGTGGTTGCAAGACACAGCAATTTTTCTGTTGGCCGCAGACAGACAGAATGTTAAAAAGTGGATCATAGTTAATCCAAGACTTGGTAGTTTAAACATAGTTAATCCAAAACTGTCTGACTTGGGGTACAAATTTTATGTAACAGCTTACCTGTCTATGCTAACTAAGTATTAACCTGAATATAAAGGTTGAAAAACATGTTGCACTAAAGCTAATAATAATTTTTACTCTTCTAGACAATAGTGGATGAGCAGTTGGTTCTGAAGAGAGTGGCAGATATAGTTATTAATTTATATGCAATGACAGCAGTTATTTCCCGAGCTAGCCGGTCTATCAGTATCGGTCTAAGAAACCACGACCATGAAGTAAGTGTACTTTAATATCAGTCATACGCATTTAATGTCTGCGCTCCTCTGATCACGCGGCTTAGCAATCGGTATTTATTGCCATTCTGCTTCACTACATGTTTTGTAATAAAGAGGCACTGTCCAGCCGCTCCTGAAGCGTTGCAGCCTCTCTGCGTTTTACAAGCCTCTAACAGCTGCTTTTGCCTCGACGAGCAGACTTTCCCCTCGGCTTTGCAGTGTGCACAAGCATGATGCTGGCCTAAGAGAGAGCTCTAAACCAGCAGGCATCGCATGCTCGTGTCGCAGGCTTTTCAGAACCTCGACGACAGACAGCTTTCATTACGCTCACAAGTACGCTCTGCATTTGTTAAGAATTTGTATCACAGCAAACTCACCATAAATCTGGGCGCACACCAGAATGTTTCTAAACTGTTGGTGCAAGAGTGCAGTAACCCCAGCAGTTGCCTCTCGGGTGCTCTGAACTCTGTAGGTTGCACGCTATCGAAGCGTTTGAAATATTTTAACACGTACATACACATTTACAAATGAATTACGAACTTGCATGTTCTCTTAAACCTGCTAATACATCCAGTTCTTCCCAAATTCCTTCCATATAATCATTAATAAATAGTAACATATAATAACAACAGTATTTTGTCAATAAATTTATTGACAGTAAAGTGAGAGTTCAACACACAGGTGGTTGTGTAGTAGCTTATTTAAAGTTTCATGGCAACGGTTATGCTACAGGACCAGTAAATTTGCTACAATCAAGCCTTAGACAAATCCAAACTGATTAACCCTTGTGTTTGCTGGCCTTGAGACTTCATGTCATCTCGTGTGTCTGTAATCCCCTTCTGGGTTTATTGGCAAAAATGTCTTCTAGTCAATTTTGAGCGAAGGCCTCATCTCTGACACTCAGTAGCTGCAGGGAGAAAGTAACAACTAAGTTTGCAACGTACGTGACTGGCTTCCAGGGCTCCGTTATCGAGAGACAAAATGAGACTTTCAGAAGTTTAAATGACTATATTTTTACGACATTGTTTTGTTTATTAAATTCATTTGCTAGTTTTTAACCGAGTTCTACTATTTTCTCAGGTGCTTCTTACAAATATCTTCTGCACGGAAGCATATTTCAAGAATAATTATGCCATGGCTCAATTACAAAAATGTAAGTTCTGTGAAATAAAAGACTTTTTATATTGTTACGGCTTTCACAGACTCCAAAGGAGGTGGTTTTGATGTGACCAACAGAATAGTTTTGCTCCGCCATTAATTAGGATGAGGAACAGAACTGGTACCACTTGTATATAAACAGTGAGTCTCTTCATAGATAAACTGTAGTGACACCTTTTTTTCCCCAGCTGTGGGGAGGAACGTAAAATAGGTCAGTAGCAAATACTCCTGTAAGAAAACATTAGATCACCCAAATAGGTCAAATACCTAATTGTTAAATACTGACCCATTAGGGTTTGGTCTGTGAAACTCAGTCTGCAATAATCAATCTTTTTTAGAAGGTGATGTTCAACTATTTCCTGGCACTGAAGTGTAGATATTGCATTTGTATTCTAAAACCCTTTTTGAAAGAAATTTAGAAAAGCTATTTATTTACTTCAGTTAACTTTCCTTCTGTTTCTCCATAGATGCAGATGAAAATCTGGATGACTGTATTAAAAAAGCTGCAAAGCAGGTACTGGAAAAGAGAGCCTACATCTGTTCTCATCCGCTGGACAGGACATTCTAACTACTTCCCTGACAGCAAACGTGATGAATGTAAAACAGTGGCTAAAATCTTCTGCAGTTAAAGTATTTGACACCTTAAAAATAACTACTTCGTGAGTTTACCAACTGTAATCAACTGTAACAGTGTAAAATAAAACTTCTAAACACAACTTCATATAAAGAGGATAAACAAAGACGTTTTATTTAAATCTCAAGTTATCTTATTAGATGCATATATGTGTTTTCTGTGGAGCTAAGTAGACAGTCGAGGTTTGGGCGACGAGATGTGTTTTCGCAGGGAGGGGATCGGGTGTTTAAGTATCTGAAGCTTAAACCAGCTACTTACTTACCTTTGGAGAAGCACTGAAAGACTTGCGGAATCGGAACAATTTCATTGGGAAGGGACTGCGGGAGGTCATGGTGTCTGGCGCACGGCAGCGCCAACTACAGTCACCACTGCCTTGTGGCAGGCGAGTTTTGAGCGTCTCTGAGGATGGTGGTTTCTGTCTCTGAGCTCCCATTTAAAAGTTTTTTCCTGGTATTTAATCAGAACCTCTCCAGGTTCTGTTCTTGGCCTTGGTCTTAAGCCTTACACTGTGGCCCCTTGGCTTTGTTTTGTTTTTTAAAAACAATAAATGGGGGTTTCATTTAAATAGAAGCTGTCATCTCTGTTAAAAAGAACTCCTGAGACAGTAGATTTTTCCATGAGCATTATTCAGACTTGATGACAGTTTACACATTTTTTTCCCCCTACACTCTTGCTAACCCTCGAACAGAATTTAGCTACTTCTTAACTCCCTCCAAGGTTGGTTTTATCCAGCAACACGTTTCAACAGTGTCCCTGTACTTGCTTTTGGGAATTTCTTGCGGGCTGGATTTCAGTAGGAAGGCAGGTACTTTGGGTCACAGGGACGTATTACCCATTACCTGCTGTTCGTCGAGTGTTTTCTGTTTAGCAAGTTACCTGTATCCAGAACAACTTCATTCTCGCGTATCGTTCTGGAGAGGGTCTGCCTGATGTGTGAGGATGGTGGTGCGTCCTTCTCTGGCAGATTGTTCCGTCTGGAAAACAAATGCATGTTTATAGCAAAGTAACCTGGAATGAAAAAGGACTTAATTAAGCTGTATCTCTTTATCTACAAATTCCTAATGAATAGAGTTACAATTTTTCAAAGATGTTTACTAAACACCACTGAATCTGTAAAATAATTTACTAATAGCCAATGAGCTGGCTACCTTTATCAAGTTACTATGACTGTTACTTCATTCTTGTTGCTCAACAGCTCTTAGGAGAAGTGTGATTTGAACAAGGAATTGTGATCATCAGGTGCTGCACAGTTCATTTAAAGATTGGTGTGGGCTCTGGCAAAATTTCCTAACAGCTTGGTAGGTAACACAGAGTAATTTTGTTAGCTAGTGCCCTGTTTTCTTGGAGCTGCAGCTCTACCTTGCCTTTGGAAGAGAGAGACCAGCTATGATGCAACAAATTTAGTGTTCAGCCGAGTAAAACACCGGGTTCAACACAGGAGCTAATGAATCATCAGTTCACAAGTTGACACTCAAGAGGCTAAAGTGACCTTGTTAAGCACGATTTATATCTAGCATGGGATTCTGAAAGATTACACTTCTGCAAGCACTGAATAATTAAATGAAGCAGAGCAGTATCTTAGAGGATGTGATGGCATGACAGCAAAGTGAGGGCCAGAACTCGTCTCCCACAATAAAGAACAAAATACCAATTAAACCACTCTACATTGCTCCGCATGTAATTGAGAGAGTAACTTTAAGTTTCCTGTTTATGCCAAATTTGCTGTCTGATACAGTTTAATTCAGAAAGTTCAAATAACATGAAATTTCTTCAAATTTCTAGCAGTTTAACTGGAAAGGTAAAAATTGCTCTTCAAGAAGTAGATTTATGCTTCTTGGATTAGAAATGCTGCAGCCTACGTTCTCCACTGTAAGGCCAGGCATGCGGCTGAAGTGTCGGCGTCTCTGACAGCACTGTGGAAAGCGCAACCTGTGAACGTGTAGGTAATACATAGTGACACCCAGGGCCAATGTTTACTGGTGGCAACCCTCATTCCTTAATTCTGGAGTTTGGACTTGAAAGGGAGACCTCCCAAGACTGCCAAGTTGCCCAGTATAATTGGTTTGTTTCCTTGGGATACACCCGAAAAATGTAATTTATCATCAACCTAGTAATTTATTATTACAATGTCTGCATACTGTAACTCTGACACACACCACATAGAATGACGTGGGCCCACTTCTGCTGTTTCTAGCAATTAGGTTGTCTTACTTGAAATCTGCACCTTGGAGTTTTTCAAATGTCTCACGCTCTCTGTTGTGCCAGGGGATGACGTTCTTGCGCCACTTCAAGCTGTGCCGGTCAGCAGGCGCTGGTACAAAGCCACTGGTGATGCTCCTCTTTCCTGGGATGACATTCGAACCGCTGTCACAGGGTTGGTTGTCCAACACTGGCAGGGCTGGGGGAGGCTAGGACAAGAAAATAGCGACTTCAGGTGCTCAGCTGGCTAGGCTTTAAAAGAAGAGATGAGGTATGTCTGCCCGTGAAGGAAGTTGTGGGTGCCTTTGAGCTCCAAGGTGAGGCAAATTTTAAATGCCTAGATTCCCCAGAACATGGACAAGAAAATGAAGGCTGATGCTGCATTATTGCTTATTATTCTTATGTCACGTCTCACAGCTGAAGATGCCCCTGCTCAGTGCAGGGGGGTGGACTAGACAGCCTTTAAAGGTGTCTTCCGCCCCAAACTCTTCTATGATTTCCCTCACAGGCAAGCTACAACTGCGCACAGCTAAAAGCATGCGTGACAAACTCATATGGTCTTACAAGCCTGCGTTTGAGATCATACTTTTTTTTTTATTATTTGTTTCTTTAAAAAGAAGTCATTATGTGCAACCTTTATGCTTCAAAAACCTTTAAGATACAAATCACAAACTGATTCCTAGTGTTAAGCCAAAAAAACACAAAACCACCACCAAAACCCTCAAACAAACAAACCAAACCCACCCACAAAAGCACAAGTGGCAGATTAGTCAGTAAAGGCTCCTCCAGCTCGGAGGTGTCCACAGAGGTGTCATACAGCCCTCAGGTGGTTTGCTTGCCTAACGAGTAGAAATATTTAGCAGAAAATGTCCAGTAATCAAACAGCTGGGCCAGGCACGATCTGAGAGACCAAATATACCCAGAAGCATGATGTGACCACGAGAAGTAACACACTGGGTCAGATTACACCCAGAGGAGGGTAAATAAAGCACATGGTTTGAGAGACGGCCCAGCATCTGAAGCAGGTACAGGAAGCCTGGATTAAAATAAAAACGTCCACACTTGCTTTTATAGCAAAAAGTAAGTCCTGTTTGTTAGGGACACAGAGCCTGCACCTGGGAAGAGGCTGTTTCCAGCTATGCACAAAGACCAGCTGGTGTCTGTCACGAGCCGGCGCACAGCTGGGCCCCAGCGCAGCGGGATGCGCAACGAGACCTTGGGAAGGGCGGTCGGAGCACCCGAGGGATAGTCCGCGTGATCCCTCCGTGTGCCGGCAACACCCAGACGTGTACGGATGATACGACCTTTCATCAGAGCGCCAGGGATCCCAGTCGGGAAGACAGGGAGGGGAATTACACTGCTTATGCGGGGTGGAGGAAAACCCGCAGCACGCACTTGGCAAGCAGCTCTAGGCTGCTACAGCTAAGAAGATTTAAAAAAAAAAAAAAAAAAAAATCGGGTGAAGGAGGTGGTGATCATAGAGAGGCAAATCAGTAGGAAACACAATAGCATAAGAATCAGCAGATAATAGAAGGCAATGGCACTAAGCCAGCTCTTGGAGCTGAGGTACTGTCTTCGCCAGTCTGAAAACACCCTTACATAAAAATAAGCAGAACATAAATGATGAAAAAAAATAAATAAAGTCTGCCTGTTTGTTTAATATATCCATCTTGCTTAAATCCGATATTCCTTCAGCCAGGCACGTCATCCGGCACAGGTGTTTTCTTTCTTTTTCTGTCAGAGGAAAAACACTGTACTGGAAAAGGAGGCTAGCTTGGAAATTATTAAAAACAACAAGAAAAAACACTTTTTTTTTCCTTTTTTTTTTTAAATCTTTCTTTCTTCCAAAGCAGACCCTTGGAAGTTAATGCACATAACCTCTCCTTTTAAAGGGATGTTTTTGCAAAGGAGTAGCCAATTTTGTGAGGCAAGACAGCAATGTCTTCCTACGGGCAGAAGCCTTGCAAAATGTGTTCAAGAAACTTGCACTATGAGGGTCAAGTCTGACTGATTGCCGTAAGTACAGTATGTCATGAAGTGCAAGCTGTACACTAGCTAATACACATATGAGTATTTATACACAATCTAGCAACAAAGGCTGCACATTGGAATTACAGGGACCAGGCAAAGAGTCCAAGATGGACGAGTTTCATAGCTTGAACAGCCAAATCAAAACAGAAGGCCAAGCACAGAGAGCACAAAGCGACAGTCAGTTCAAAGCCTGACGCTGTAAGCTGAGGTGGCCAGGAGCTTGCTGCTGAGTGTCCATTTAATACAAGGACTGGCACTCAGAATATTAAAAAAAAAAAAAGAAGAAAAAAACGGTGGGTGGGAGTGAGTTGGCCTCAAAGGTTTAACTCTGCTTTTGTTACCAACATTCTTGTAGCTCCTGTGTTTGTTTTGCTAGAGCATTTGTAGCCCACAGCAAGCTTCAGTCCCTTTGATCAAAATCAGCTTTAAAAGCACGCTCAGGCTTTGGGTCAGTCATTTGGATGCGAGCGCTGACCATGGTTCAGCCAACAAAAGAACGGTTAGGTGCAGGCCACCCATACAGCTTTTCATATTAATGAGTCTCGCAAAGTGGGGTGGCTGCGCGGGATTTTGCAGCAACCGGCTGAAGTGCAGCGCTCAGGAAGTCTATACAGCACTATGGTAATCGAGAGAGCACAGGGTGAGGCGTTTGGCAGCTAGTCTATAGAGCGCCTCGACCCCCACATTTCATTAGGGGACATTACAATTTCTTTTAGAGCTGCTGAGCCAGCTGGCCAAAAACCGTTCTTCTTTTCTCATCTACTGCATGCTGACAGGCAAGTTAGTTAATAGAACAGAAATCCTCCCCATTATCTCTGAGCATCAAAGCAAAGAACTAAAAAAAAGCCAAACTTTATAAAACAAACTTATTTTGTGCCCTAGCTAACATATTTTTCTAAGAGCTTTGTAAGATTGAGTCAACCAGTGCTATCAACATCAATTTTAACAAATATTTTTACTTCCAAAAAGTAATGTGCTAACTTGAGAGAGTCACACATTATCACCTCCACAAAGGGCAGGGCAGCTGTTGCTGCGTGAAGGTAGGTGCCAGGGTTGGTTGCCCAAAGACAGTTACCCTTTACCTTCAGAACTGGGCCTGCCTTCCCGAGTGAGAATTTCAGAGGCTCATCCTTAGGAAGTCCTTGGAGCTTCTGCAGCTGAAACCTGGCTCTTGGCCCACGTGTGGGTAACTCAGCTGCTGTGGAGCGCCGATGAGCTTTCGGCTTGGTATCATCAAGCGTAGTTTGCAGAATCTGCTTAGCGTCTTCACGAGGCCAACAACAGAAAAAAACAGGCAACAGAAACCAATTAGATGGAAGAGGTAAGTTTTGGCTGCTTGAACAAAAAAAACAAACAAAAAAGTAAACTAGGCTAAAAGCCTCTATTGCCATTCACAGAAGGATTCAACTAGAACAAATGATACAGGTGTTGGAATAATGGCTAGTGCCCACAAAGAAAATCCACTGTCCTGTAGGGCTCCCTAAAACACACATGAAAGCAGAATTGGTCCTGACTGCTTCCAAAAGCATTTCTCTGTACGAAGCACTTGAGAAGAGCTGCACTGAGTGATTTGCAAGTTACAGGGTAATGTGCAGCAAAGAAGTTGTAGAAGATGAAAGATTCTAGCAACCACAATAAATCTATTATTTTCTGCTTGTAAACGTTCCAGTGAATCTCAGATGGTTCTGGGCAAAAAGAAACACATGGCAAACTTTTCAAGATACCGTTTCATAATGAAGTACAACCTTGTCTTTTCCTGTTTGTGTGAGAACACGAGGTTATCACACTGACCACCTCACCAAGGCACACTACAGGCCGCTGTGACCGTGCAGATTTAACTGGCTCATCTCAGCTGCCCCTCTATCTGGTGTTGCTGACAGTCTGTGGGGGAGCTTTTGTCTGACCTTGGTAACAACAAAAGCTGTTTGTGGTGAAGGAAGATCAGGCAGCCAACGGAGCCAGCTTTACAGAATAACATGCCAGGAAGGATCTATACCCCTCTGACGTATTTTACTACAGGCAAAGGAACCAAGGCTAAGTCGTCAGGTAAATGGAGGGGTAAAACTGGAGTATGGCCAAGCTCTTACTCCCCAAGATGCCTCATTTGCTAGAGTACAAGCAGTTTTGCTGTACATGGATCTCCTCACTAAACCTCTTTGCATTCAAATCCCCTTCCTTGATGGCAGAACCGAACAAGCTTTGGGACCGTCTGACAGAGCGTCAAGTTAAAAGCTAATTTCAGTTAATTTTAACAGATCCGTTACCACTCCATGGGGCTGCTGTCATGAAGAGCTCAGGTGGCTTCTTGTAAAGATCAAAATCAATGTGTCGTTTGTCCCAGCTCCATCTGTCTCGTGACAGCACTGGCTCCAGGTTAGCATGCAGAGCATTCTCCTGCCATTTCTAAATGAAAATTGAATCCCTTTAAGAAGACAGGCCAAAATCACCAGGGAGGAGTCACAAAAAAGTAAGAAGTCAGCCAGATTACTGGGTAGCGATCTAACAACCACCATAATAGGACCTCACCAAAGTCCAAACTGCGCTAGACAACACTATTTCTCTCTGTAGATAGTCTTTCCATTTGTTATGTTTGATAGGCATGAATTAGAACAAAAATCCATTTCACGAGCAAGCTCCTGATACTCAAGTACTGAGCTGTTATCTAACATACAGGCACTTACAGTATACTTGAGAAATACCTGGCAGGGGATTCAATTTCATATTTATGCCACATTTCTCTGCAGCAATACATGGGGTCTGATGCACTTTCCTGTATTTCATACACAGCTGCTAAACTCACAGGAGAACGTGGACCATCCCTCTCGTCCATGTGACTCCGTGTCAGTACGCTCCTCTGCACAACGAGGCTGTGAGAGGACAGAGCCAGTCCAAAACCTAACTAGTTATTTATCGTATCCCAGCGGTAAGAAGTGGACTAGCTGTACAGAACTGCTAGAGCAGTGAGAGATGTACCATCTCAAGGATAATCTTAAAGCATAGTGCTTTTAGAAAGCAGAAGTTGTCCTAGTGCTTCTAAAAACAAGGTCTTTGGTATTAAACTTTTGGGGCCAAGAGCCCAGGCGTCCCAAGAAAGCAGGGAAGAGAAGCAGCATGTGCACTGGAATCATGGCAGGAATATTCATCATCACAATTGCGAGACAGAGTTCAGCTTTTTGTGGTCCTCCGACTACCCACCGCTGAAGTACCAGTTAGGTTTTTCCAGACAAAACTATCCTTCCTAAGCTACAAACTGACCCCCACTGTCTGTTGTTAGCCCTGTAACTGCACAGTTTTAGGTAAAACAGTGAAAGTAAAGGATAGCTGAGTCAGTGCAGAAACTGTATGGAGATATTTTAGGAAACCAGAAAAACTCCAAGAACGTTTTTGCCTCCCAAGGGATGGGGTTACAAAAGATGGTCAAATTCTCTGTTTGAGAAGAAAAGCAGAAATGGTTAAAGCAGCAGCGTATCAAAACCAGGCTGCTTCAGAATGGGATACTAACACTTTTCTGCTTTTGTTCCACCTTTCAGGTAAAATGAATGGTTAAGTTCAGAATCAACCTCCAGCACCCAATATAATGCTGGTCATGCCCGTGAGGTCCCTGCTGGAGCAGAAGAAGCTCTCACAGCTCCCTGGCCAGCGTTCGTGCTGCACAGCTACCGGTACTGCCAGGCCACACTTCGTGTCGTTCAGGGTAAGATGTCGGCCCTCTTCCCCTCTCTCTTCCCATCAGGAGGTGCCAATGGTCAATACAACATGCTAATCGACTGCTGCTCCCACACCAAACATCAGAGTCCCCCATTTATTTCAGTTCAGTAACTCTGGTGTCAAGCATCAGTTGCTGCACTATAAGCCTGATGACCCTTTTTCAGCTTGTCAGTTTTGATCCTGTACTGCCTAGTTTCCTCCTCTTTTTTATCTCTTCGGCAAAAGGCACCAGCAACTATACTGTACTGGCTGGCTTCTGTTACTCTTGGTCAGTGAATCTTCTCTGCTCCTTCGTGAGAAGATACATTCTCCAGCATCATGGAGAACCATGCTTGGTATTTACTAACCATTTCACTTCAGGTATACTCTAACCTTTTTGAGAAATTACTTTAATTTGTATGAAAAAAAGCGCCTGAAAATTAAATTAACATGTACACATTCTTGCAAGATAGGATACTGAGCCCCCAAGCATTCAGTTTGTTCCACTCTTGTGTTGTGACTGTGTTCAATTAAATTTGGTCAAATTTACTCATCCTGCACAAAAACCCACATGTTCTATTCCCTTTATTTCCTCATCTTGCCAATTCTAGTAACATCCAAATCTTCCTCCTAATGGCAGACCACATGTGTTTGATTGTACTCAGTGCTGAAGACTGTTCAAAACAGGGAATTGTAAACTAGTCAGGTTGATGATCCAGTAAAATGGCAGAAAACTAGAAGCTAAATAGTAAGGAACGGAGAAGCAAGACAGGACATGGGGCAGGAAGAAACTGATAGAGAATGCAGAGAATTTACACCCCATAAATCTGTAACTACAAACCGTAAATAAAGGAGGAAAAATAAGCAGTGAGGGAATTTGGAAACATGAAGGAAGGCTACAATTAGATTGGCAGCTCATGAAGAACAGCCTGGAACCCATTCATCATGGAATGCAGTATTATGATTTTTCTGACACTAGACCCCACTTGTAAATGTAAAACAAAGCACTCTGTAGTCCATTAATACTATTAATATCCAATCAATATTGGCAAATGGGTTTTCTGTATGTGTTCAGGGTACGATTTGTGTATCCGAACAAAATATCACCTGAGTGAGCTAGATGCTGATGTACCCGCATTGCAAATAGAGGTGTCACCACCAAAAGAGCTGCCTAGGTTGTACCCCTCAAGAGACTTCCATCTGCTAAAGCAGTCTGCCTCTTTCAAGTCTCCCAAAATGCGCCAGTTCACTTTGGATTGTTCATTTAAGTTTTCTGTTACCTCACTTAACTCCTCCAGACGTGCCTTGTCAGGCATATGAGGGTGCAGGTTGCTTTCAATGCTGCTCTTAAATCCAGGAAAGACAAATCCATCAGGTGACAGCCACATACTCTTGGATTTTGCACAGGATTCCTTACAGGCAGCAACCACATCCAGTGGGTCAAATGTGGCTGACAGATACTCATGACAATAAGCGAATATGTTCTTTGGTTCCTACCAAAAAAAAATTTTAAAAAATTTTAAAAAATTTTTTTTGTTAATGTGAATTCCCCTTTGCTAAGAGAGGAGACCATAAGGTACAGAACCAGTATCATTTCTTTCCTTAAGACTGCAAGTAATCATAGATCAAAATTATACAAAATATATAACATTAAATATTAAAAAATGTTTTTAAATTTCATTCTATTATGATCCAGTGATGGATTTAATGACAAGTGGCATAATGGGATCTCTGTAAAATAATTACAGAAAGAAATAACTTTAGTATTATTCGCACAAAAAGAGAATTGTAGTTCCGAACATGAACAGCTTTCACAGAGCTATAGTAATTTCCACTAGCTGATAGGAAAATAGTATTTGTTATTAAGATTCAAGCCAGCCACCCAGACAAAACCAGATAAATGTGATTCTTCAAATGTGTTCTTCAAATCACTTAATACTGCATACGCCAACACTGCGATTACTCGAATTCTCCTGCTCCTAATCGTGTGGGACTGGGGGCTGGCAGTGACCACCTTCGTTATCAAAGTCCACAGTCAAAACGACAGCCCAAGTCATGGAGGTAAGACAACTCGACTACAACGAATGGCATTAAGAGCAGACTTTTACACCAGAGTACCTCTCAGACTGAGATCTTTTTGGATAGCGATCTCCCTTCCTACACACTAACATGGGAGTTACTAGTGTGAAACTACTTAATTCAGCTCTTGCATGCAGCAAGCAAAGATCTTCCAGTCATGTGTCTCGATTCACCTTTGCCATTTCCTGGCGAAGATGCTTCTTTGCAAGTTCCGCAGAATTCAGGCTCTGACAGCTGTAGTTAAAGACAGATTTGCCATCAACAGGAGAAATCCTGAAAATTTCAAACTTTGGCTCTTTTGTCTTTCCTTTGAGTTGGCATACAGCACGAATGTTAGCCTGCAAAGAGAGATTACATCTGCGTTCTGTCTGAACGGGTAATTCAGAGAATACGAAAAAATTACAAGCAGGCAAATGATTCTGTAAACGTTAAAAAAACACTTTAACAAAACAAAAAATAAAACTAAAAATATAATCTAGACATAGATTTATTACCCAACAGCTCTTTGTTAATAAAACACTCCACAGAAGACGATTAAAAAAAGTAGCATCATTTCACCCTCACCTATGACATTCTGCAAGACTAATGGAGTAGACTGGAGGCAAGCGCTCACCAGAGAAGACTTCTACTTACAGATCTAAATAGTTGTTCTGGAGAGCTGATGCTGATTGTCTTCAAACGAAATAAGATTAGTTCTTTCATTTCTATGATTCCATTAACACCCCAGCAAATACAGCGACACGGGAAACACCATTCTCTAGGACTCTTCAAATTTCTCTACTGACAGTGGAATTAAACCCTCATACCTTTTCATTGACTTAAGAATGTCGTTCTACTGCGTTGGTGGTAATTATGGCTTTGAATTCAGAATCCGCCATAATGGGTAATTGCAGCAAGCAAGTAAAATTGTCTTTTGGATGTCACTTCCCTGTGACACCCACTTCCCTTTTTTTTTTTTTTGTTTTTTAATCAAAAAGCCTGAAAAGTTACTTTACCTGCTATTAAAAAAATAATTTCATATTTCTTTTCTATTGAGGACTTCCCAGTTCCTCTATTATCCTCTTGATTTAAAAGCATGTATAAAATGAAAACTGGTTAAAACAAAGGGAGGACTGTTAACTTTATAAAATAACAAAATAACTCTACACTTAATCTATACAGAATGATTAGGCCTAAGAGCTCTGCTGCTCTCATCCTCCTACGATGTTATAAATGCAAGCACCAGGAAGAATTAGTTAAGATAGTCTTCTATTCTAGCGTCATGTAATACTCCTTTATCAACAGACTGACTGAGAGCGGAAATACTTAGGAGTTAAATGTCTTTCAAGATCTCCAAGACAGTACGCTTACACAGGAACACAGATTTCCACATATCAGGCAAAACCTCTTTGTATTAAAATATATACAGGAAAAAAACATTCAGAACTATTCTTCACAAACCACGGGATAGCTAGAGTCCTCAGCTAAGAAATATACTCAAAAAGACCAATTCAGACTCCCAGGAAACACGCAGGATACCCCTTCTTTGATGTCTGTATTAATGGGAAAGGGTTTAATTTCAACTTGTTTTCCCTGAGGCAACAGAAGCGGTAGATGGACACTGGTAACAAGCCAGAAGAGGTTCTAAAATTCTTCACCATTTCCTTAAATGCTCTGTCGGCAACTGCTGGTTTTATTTAGTCAAGAATAAATGCCATTCTGGTTGCCCAAATGCAAGCAGGTCTTTCACACGGCAAGAGAAGAAAGCACTATTTTCACATGAGCTTAGTTGGCTTGGTCCCCCCCCGGAGCATCTGACGCCTGGATCTGAAGCCTGCTTAAGCACAATGGGGGAGCTACGGAGAAGAAAGAGACAAAGAACAATAGGAACCAAACCCAAAAAGAAATTACAAGTCCTTTAAATAATCAGTTTCCTTACCACTCACACAATGTCTCCTCTGTTTACCTGTAAGCACTAGAATTGCTTTGAGAAGCAATTACATTTGCACTTCAACTTTTGCAAAATAAAAATACACTGCACTTTTTTGTAATGTTTGCACAATACCTACAAACATCTCACCAAAAGTTTTTAAGTCTAATGAGTCACTGGTTCAGGAGAAGGAGGTGGTGATTCAGGATATGAAGTTTTGCAACTATTAGACTTGCCTCTCGCACATCGCAAAGTACTCACCTCAACATGGTTTCTCTCAAAAGACATTTTGTCTGCTATGTCTTTCTTGCGCTGCACACACCTTTCATTGTGGTTATCTAACGAAGAGCGTGCTGTCTGTTTCACTCTGCTAACTTTTCCTGGTACTGTATAATCATCAGAGGAAACCAAGAGTAAAGGAGGTTTCTGAGTGAAGAGATCCTCATCAGTTAGGGGAACTCCATACTCGTGACTCAAGACTGTGATCATCACTGCTGAGGGCAGCAGATCCCCACGAACTACATCCCTCAACCTCTTACTGTGACAGAGGTAACTGAGCCTACAAACAGACATCAACATTTTATCAGTTTACAAAAAATTTCACTGCCATCAAATCATTACGTTAATATTACTGTGGAAAAGCTATACAACCTTCTTGAAACATCTCTTTATTGAGAAATTCAGGTCAGTTGATGTATGCTGGTATTTAGCGGCAATAAAGAAGGTTAGCAGTTTAATAAACCTACTAGAAATATTCTAGGAACGCTGCCGGCACCAGATTTAGCTGCAAGTTAACGACCAGTTGCTGAATTTCTCTAGCCTCTGTCTGGAAAGGCAATAAAGCAAAGTCCCTTCATGCACACTGGTTCTAGCGTATGACCCATATTTATGTTGAAAACGCACTAAAATCCATCCTGCCTTACCTCTCTTATGTCTCGTTCTGATCAAATGTCATTCTATATGCTGTTCATGACAACGTTTACCTCACATTTGATTTCATTCACTAAATTTGGCCTGCAAAACCTAGTGTTAACACGAAAGCAGTTCTAAATATATGACAGCTATTGAACACTATACACACACTTTATATACATGCACTTAAATTCAATTCTCAGCCTCTCTCGCTCAGGCCACAGCAGAGGTCATGGAATAAAGTGACTTACCTAATAGCCAAACATAGTATTATGATTCCTTGCTAGAACTGGAATTTTGTGAACTCATCTATCAGATAACTGTTCTTTATTTGGGGAGAGTAACTTTACAAAGTACTGTAAAAGAATTCAATTGTAAAATGACTGCCACAACATTCTTTTCCTACCATTCCTTCTGAACAATACACACAACTGATAAATAACACTAATTTCAAAGTTGCATCAGCGTTAATGGCACAAATGGAGTTTCTATCGGTATGTTAAAAATTAAACCGGCCATTGTGCATATGGATCACGTGCATTAGTTTTTCTACGGTTAAAATTAATTTTCTGGCTAATTCTAGCAGAAGGAAATCTATGAGGAAGCAGCAGTTTCTGCTATGCACACGTTAAACCAGTGACTGACTGCAGCAAACCAAAAAAAACATAGAACGGGAGTTCTACCAGTTAGAGACTGCTCTCGGACACAGTTCACAATCTGTATACGCCAGTGACTAACTTATTTGTGTTTCTCTGCGTAAGTACAGACAGAACAGAATGAGGGTATGGCAAAAAGGCCTAACACCCAACGCCCAGCACGCATAATTCACCCAGCTGGGACGGTGGGTTGCTGAAAAGAGCTGCTGTCTAGGAGGACATTGTCTAGGCCACTTTTAATGACATCACAGCGATGGCCACCAAACACTTTCACATCGTATTCTTTTCCTCGCCACCTCACAGAATAAACATGAAACAAATTACAGATGTGTGAAGAGGCACCCAAGTTACAGGCAGATCATTAGAATGAATGTACTGCAGAACTTTAAGTGTAAAGGCCTGGCTCTTCACTAGCTTAATGAAGTTAAGTTTCATTAGTCATCAGCAAATAAACCGTTCTTGAACTTGAATGGGTCAGCCAACAAGGGGAAACAGACAGGTATACTAAACCAGCCTGCTAGATCAGAGGTGTACTGCATTCGTTTTTCAGCAACTGCCTTGACATACGCAAAATAAAACTTGTAGTAGACGAGTAAGCCATATGTACTATACATTAGTATGTTTACCAAAAAAAAATATGTTTTACCAAAAAGCAAGCATGTGGGAGGGCAAGCGGGAAGGCTGCTACAAGGCTGCGTATTAACAAGAATTTTTTATGAAATCGGATTGATGTCTAGGAGACATTCACTCTTTCTTGCCTCAGGACTAAATTTCCCCATTCATTTCAAATAAGCTTTGCAGGATTTCAGTTCAGAAGTTAAATCTAAACAAGCCAGTCTATTTCTAGCAAGAAAGCAAGTAATCACAGTTAATCTCTACTTTCTAAACCCAAGTTGCTCATATCAAAGATGGATGGTACCTTCTTCCACCTCTCCGTAGAAGTGTCTTATTTTACAAATAAGCAAACAAAAAAACCCACGCACAGATTAGTAAAATGTATACATAGGTAGAGATGTATGCACATAAGACTTCATCCAGTTTCGTTTTCTTTAATCTGTCTCATGAGATGCAATGTCAGAGATGCTTTAAGGCAAACAGCTGTGAATACCTGCATGCTGACAAAGTGAGCAACCTGGCAGAGATCCAGCAATAAATCATGCAACAAAATCCCCAAACAAAAAGCGAGGAACAGGAAACATATTCTCCCAACCCTCACAAACCTCTTCCTTGGGAAAATGGTTTTAGAATTCCCCACTTAGTTCAAGTGACTTTCTGGATCTATCAAGCCCTATTTGGCCTCCTCCTTCACTCCGTCTCTATGAGAACAGAGCAGAGAAGTCAAACCTTCCCAGCTGATGCTTCTGACACCAGAATTTTCTCTTTTTTTAATTTGTATTATATTCAGATATTTTCCAATATACTGTTTTACCGATACACCTCTCTTCTCCTCTTTACAATGTATAAATTCCTGCCCAAACTAAAAGTGGGGTCACCAATGTCCAGTTACCACTACCTCAGCAGCTAGAAAACTGTGTTCTTCTATCTTACCACATCTGATCTAAAATCTGAATTACCCATCAGGCCCACAGGCTGCTTTCATCACAGAAAAGATCTTCAAGAGTATTATTTTTTGTATCAAATATTCACTCTACTAACATTTCAGTTCTTAATTTCTGGACTATGAATCTGGACGAGTCATACCTGGACAAGGCTTGGAAACATGCCCAAGGAATCATACCTCTGACATAAAGCAGAGGTTCTTTTGTTATAGTGAAGAGGGGCTTACAGAGGCGGAAATGATAAAAGATAGCTTCCAGGTCTGTATACAGGCGTCGACGGAAAGACAGTTGTGAGTTATATAGTATTTCCAGTTGTCCATCTTCACGTCTGTACGTCCTGTAACAAATGACAAGGTTAAAACACTCAGCCCCGTATCTCAGGTTTCCTCAGTTCCGCAGTTAATGGAATTAATGCTTTGCTTTTGTCCTTTAGATGGAACCTCTCAGTCCATGGCCTTCACATCAACTGTTCTAAAGAATTATTTTGGACAAAATTACAAAGAAAATATCAAAACTGATGACATAACTGAGTTGCGTATGTTATCTTTTTACGTCACATGGCAAACATCTGAAAGGAAGCTCACCTCTGTTTCATCAGTGTTGTGCCCCTTACCAGCCTTATTGTAGCTATAAAACTACTACATAAATATTTCTACTACAAATACTAAAATTCATACTGCAGCAGTAAAACAAAGCTTCAGTTTAGGTTACAGGTGAGCACTGACAAGAGACAACTTTTTATGCAGTAGATTATTTCAGTAACTGCAATGAAGTTACTTGCATTAAAAACAAAAAAAAAATCAAACAAAACAACAAACCACCACAGAAAAGCTATAACAACATGCTACACTGCTGGCAAACGTATCCATTATTTTTGAAACATGACATTTGAGGGAGATATACACTTCAAATTTGTCACATTTTCCCCTAAACTCAAAGGAAGAAACAGCATCCTCATGGTGACTATTTTCTTTTTAGATCTCATTGAGTATTTTTTGTTATTATTTAGAATTGGCATATTATAGTGTTGTTTCCGCAAACCAAGTAGCAGCTTAACAAAAAAAGTACATGTTGCCATCCTTCTCATTTTAACTTTACACGGATGGTCTATATGGTAATGTGATAAAGATGAGAAGATTATGCCTCAAGTAAAGCAGCCACTGGGACTTATATCCACTAAAACCACACAGAAAACATCAGCTAGGTACTTGCCCATATATCTTTGTACAGAAAGGGATGGGGGAAGTGTAAATCAAATTAAAATCTCTGAATCTGAGGAAATAACTGATGAAAAACCTCAAGCTCTCTTACCTTTCAAAGTGTTTATCCCAGAGTTTCTTGATTGCTTTGTCTTTTAATCCCTCCAAGACAAAGAGATGAGTTGCTCCATCCAGTAAGTGAAAACCAGTAACAATATCCAACTCGGAAACTTTCTCAAGTGTAGTTTTCAGTTTTAATGCAGCAAGAGCCATTCCAATTAAGTGTGCAGGATAGCAGTCCAGCTGGAGGGCTTTAGCATTGATTTCTGTAATCTCTTCCACCAAATCATGTAGTAATGATGAATTCTTGTAGTCAAAAATGTAGATTATACAACCATACGGGCAATCTTTGACTTGAGCATCAGCAATTTCTGCATGCATTCCCAATGGCACAGCTATTTCCACTCTTACTTTCAAAAGCGAGTCTGATTCTAGATAATGTCCCCCGGGTAGCAGGGAAGGACTACCCACTGACTCTGTTATTTTCTCATTTTTCTCCTCCTCATGGAGAGCAGCTCTATTTGGAGCTGAACAGTTACGGATGGGAGCACTGATACTCAAGTACTTTCTACCCAACAATAAATCAGTTAGACTGACTTTAGCTACCCCATGCGGATGCCACACTTCATTCTTCATAAAAGAATTATAGATGACAGATTCGCAAGCAAGGAAGCTCACCTTACCCAATTTTTCATCAGCTTCATCCTCCCCAAACAGACATGGCTTTTTTGTGTTGTTTTCCATGTTTCTATCCCGGTCGTGAACTTCAATCTCCAAAGGTGGACCTCTAAGATACCTCTGTAATTCCCCAGGTTTCATTGTCCCTGTTAGAAGTACGTTAACATCCTTAAAGTAGACATGAGTTCCATGGATTTGTCCATGCGTTCGATGAGGTGGGAAGTTGTGAAATTTGTATTTGCAGTAGGTGGGAACACACAATCTCTAAAGAATAAAAATCGGGGAGAAACAGCTATTGGTAGTGTTAAATTTTTTCCTTTTCATTTGTAACCCCACAGAACAATCAGCTTTTCTAGTAGATAAGGTACGGGGGATGTACTTCATGGCACAGATTATGGTCTTCCAAGACGGCAAAGAGGCCATTCTTCATGCCGGGATCCTGGGTTTGAGGAATATACTGTCCCCTTTTTTTGTCTGTCCTCAACTTCATTGACTTTCCAAATATGTCAGAAAAACTCTCCTTGTTTCTAGATCATTAAAGGAGCATGCTGGGGACTGCACTGGCTCCTAGATCTATTTTGTTTCTCCCTATGCATTCATCTGTAGGATCTGAGGCCTAAAATAAATGCCTATAGCTAGAAGTTAGGAAATTCAACAAGTACCCAGAGACGCCGTACGGAACGGACTGTATGATCTCCATTATTAGCCCTTTGTTTACGAATTTGGGGAAGCAAACAGGGGGATTCATTCCACAATACTTGTTGTGGTTCCTCCATCTAAGCGTTCATCAGCATTACGGCAACCCACATGAAGTGACGGCTACCTGTCAAGGACTATCCTGACAATTTCAACTTTGAAACGGTTCATTATTTCCTACAGTACCCCACGTGGCAAGGGAAGCAAAGTCAAAACTTCTGTGGTCACCCTGCAGATTGCACTAGAAACTGCAGAGTGGCTTTGTCTCCATGATTTATTATGTTGCACAGTTACTGACATTTTTTCCCCTATTCCTCTTCGTAAAAGCTAAGCCAATTCATCTAGTCTGTCATAAGCCCTGCAGTGTAAAACTCCACCACAGAACTATACGCGCTATTATAAAGTTCCTGGCATAACATTATTGAATTATTTTTACAAAACCAACAACAAAACATCCAACTAATCTTCAGGATCAGGCTGATGCAACTTGGACGAGATCTTTCATATACTATTCCCTTATCATTTCACTTCAGCCGAAGATCAAGAAAATAGCTCCTGAAATCAAAGGTCTTTGACCTTAATTTCATTTTCAGATGAACCATATATAAGACTTAGAAAAAAGCCTTTTTGAAATAGCATTTCTTTAAGCCTAAAAATGCAACCATTTGACAAGAGAACATTTTTCTAACTCATCACTCAAAATTTACAACTATAAGACCAAAAACTTTATATTCCCATCAATATAGAACTTTTATGTGCACAGCATTTTTTAAGTTTTGGAGCATTCACTATTTTTTTAACTTAAATAATGTTTTTAACACAGAAATAGAAATCGTTCTAATGAGCAAGTCAACTCATATTGACTTGTGAGCAAATTGTTGCAAACAATATAATGCTGTGACTGAACTAGATCTTTGCTGGATTATTCAAGATCCACTGCTCAGACAAAATGGGATGATTACACATAAATTATTGTCCTTGGAAAACAGAAGGATCGCTGTTTTGCTGCCAGTGCCTATGATAACATGGCAGCACTAATCTGTCCACGTGTCTTTCAGGAAATATATTAGTCATATTCTCCAATTTTGGTACTAATAAGGAAAGTTATCTGTAAAACCAGGCCTATATTTTAAGCAAAGCTACTTGAGGGTAACAAGGAAATTCTTTCAGAAAGAAGTAGCGGTATGTGTTACCTGCAGCACTTCTATTGGTACAGGTGTATTTGGGAGGCAGGTAGCTGAATTAATCTTTATAGTCAGTGGGTTCAATTCATGTCTTTGTCTTTCAGACAGAAGAGGTGTTTCCACAGTGAAAGTCACATAAGCATCTAAAACTTTAGGATTGTCTTCTGCCAGACGACTGACCACCAATTTTTCTCCTTTTTAAACATACAAGATTAAATACTGTTACAGAAGCAATCCCATCAAGGCACCCACATTTAATGCAGTTGTTAATTACAAATTTCCACTGAATTTATATTAAAATAAAACAAAAGTATTGTTTTAACTGCTTCGAATAGTATCTACCTTTTACAGTAAGGTTGAAAATAGTCCCCAAAGCACTGTCAGAACCCCTACTTGGGCTAACTGCTGAAAGCACACAGAAATTTATTTCAGTTTGAAGCTATAAATATACAGTTCGCATAAACACAAGAATTAAAGCAGTTCAGAGACTTTTCATCATAAGTAAACTCTTCGTTAAAGGTAAACAAACACCTTTAAACAAACTGGCTTCTCTGCAAGCAGCTTTGCCACATCCTTGCACCCAGCAGCTGAGTTCCATGCTGCATGACATATCACTATGTCTGTCTGTGTGTACAGAACAAAGGGGAGATTTAACTCACCACACACAAAAATAGGACAACATATATTAATACAGAATGTTAATCTAGTTACAGTCAGAAAACCACAGAAATAACCCACTCTACTCTGACCAGTAACCCACTTTCAACACGTTCAGAATCAAAGAGCTTAGATGTACATGCTGATGGAGAACTACAAGGCAGAGTTATTTTTGACATCCTGCCCTTCAGAGCACACAGACTTCTGAATATATGTCAGCCTCCCCTAGATCAAAACCAAACCCTAAATCTTTCTTAACCAGCTAGCTTTTATCCAGAACATGAAATTCCCTAGGGATCTTTCAAGACAGTTTCCACCAAGCAGACCCACCAGCACAGGGGTTCCAGAGGAGGAGACATGGAGTACACCCGCGGCATGTTACTCCTACCCTGGACCCTTCCTAACAGAATACTACCTGAAAGGAGAGGCATGAGATCTAACTGCAGTGAAGCAATGCCATATTTCTTTGCCATAGTAGCATCCATGTTTCTTCTAGGACCAGAACCTCTTCTACCTGTTGATGGAAGGCAGGGTTGGACTGAGTAGCAGAAGGAAACATTTTGTTGCAATTAATCAAAAAAATAATTTAAAATTTACTGCAGTTGGTGGCATAATTCAGTATCGTCCTTAGAAAAAGATGTCAATTATGCACTTCAGCACCAACTCAGGCTAGTATTTCAATATGCTCAAACTTCCACTGCATAGTCCACTATACTATATGTAGAATCCCCACTTTACAAGAAAGTTAAATTTGCAACAGCAAGCATTAGAAGTTCATGGAATTACCAAAATAAAATTTATCTTTGCCACCTTACTATTCTTTCCTTGCATATATGCATTACAACACATATATGGTCCTCTTTATGATAGATATTCTATTGTTTCTAGAAACCTGTATTTTATAACTTAGCATCTACAAAACAGGAATATTGTCATTCCTTTACCTCACAAGGATACCATGAAGATAAACTCATTAATATTTGTCATCTTCTTAGAGGCTGAGTAATTATTCCCAAAATTCCTTTCGCCCAGATCCACTCTTTGCCCAACCAGTAAAAGCAGAGTCAGTCCCAGCCTCAAGTATTTAAATCCTAGCTTCAGATACTTTTTCCAATCAGTTAATTGAGTACAGAATTTCAGCACAAGTAGCTTAAGTTTGACAAAAAATGTAGCAAGTGAACACAGCAACTTAAAAGAAGAGCTGTTAGAAATATTATTGCTGCTCCTCCTGGTTTATTATTATTCCTGTAAGAAAAGGAATGGCAGAAAGTTTTAAGGACAAATTTAACAATCAAATGGAAGGAAAGAGAGGCATGCAACGTATTCCTAAAGTTTTATCTTTTAATAACAATAGTAATGCAACAAGAGATATTAGCAGTACCAAAATGACACTATCGGTGCATTAATTTCTTTTGATAGAACAATACTACAACTGAATGTTATCATTCACGCCCCGTAATGCTTTTGCTAAGCAAACGTGCTTTTCATAATGCGTACTGGCAGCAATGCGTGCTGCAACCCTGCGATGCCGTGCCAGTTTTTGGTCAGACAAGCACGCTGTTTAACATGGGTGAGGTAATATATACTCTGGCATCCATTGTTGCAGTGGTTATCATCTCTTCCCACCTTTCACAGGGCCTTAGTCAACTGTAAGCTACAGATGAGAGCAAAATGTCACTCTGTGGGGCTGTGTTTTTTCATTTAACATAATGAACAAACACTGGAAGTAAAAATGGACTGTAAACCACAGATCAAGACCTGGCCTCTAGTGGAAAAAGCGATGAAAGTGATATGACACAACAGCTTGATGATTTTGCAGTTGGAATAGTTGTTTTAGTTTCAACATTACTCTTTAACTGTTTTACAGATCTCATCATTGTTCACCCAAGTCCCTTGGAAATATCCATCACTTCGCCCTGGGACACTCCAAGTGGCAGAAAAGGACCGTCGTCATCCCTGCATCACACTACTAGCTAAGGAAACTGAAAAAGAAAGTCTTATTAGCTGCTGAAGAAACACAGAAAGCTCCTGGCAGAGCCAGGACTAAAGCACAGGTCCTGTAACTCTTACTTCTTTGTTTTAACCTTGAATTCTTTAGAATAGTAACAAAATATTTTTTTTAAAAAAGAAGATAACCAGAATTCCATATCTACCTTTTCAAATCTAGTCCATAATGCCATCCAGAACTTACCGTTTGTGGTGGCTGTTTTGTCTGCTTCACATGTCAGAATTCCCACATTATCATTTGTTTTCTCAGTTCCTTTTGCAGTTGAATTAACTGGGGGACCAGCACCTGCTTTCTGCTTCAGAAGATGGGCCTTATCCAGAAATCTGTTTTTTCCAAATATCACACTTCTGAAAACATTAAAAAGATTTGAAGTTATTTAAGAAATACGGAAAATAAAAAATAAATCCCTGCCATGCTATTGATTCCATCCAAATTTCCCGCCCCACCCCCCCCTCAAAAAAAATTCAGGTCTAAAAGAGCTCAACCGCCAGAATATAAACATAAAGGAGATCAAAAATTATATCAACAGGATACACAGTCCTTCTCTTTTGAGTAAGAGAGCAAGTACATATCTGAAGAGATGCATAAAGGAAAAGATCTTGTAGTACATACTACAATAGCTTACTTACAGATTTTTCAGTACATCTGCTTTGCTTTTTGAGGGAAGAGAAATATGTCTATTCTATTACTGTTCACATTTGGTATACACTGTAACACAATTACAGATAGACCAGAAATCTAGACTAAATACCGTTTCGCTCTATTATAAGAGCGACTGCCTTCTTAGGGGGAAAATGCAGTTAGGAATGCTGTCGCTTAGTTTCAGCATTAACAAGCTTCCCAGACCTCATAGTATCAGCCACTGCTGTAAATGGTTCTTCACAAGACATCACACATTTTATTCCCCAAGTACACACGTCCCTTACAAATTCGACATATTATTACTGCTGAAAAATGGATATTAATCAGAAGCAATAGAAAAAGCTGTTTAAGAGAGACAAATCTCACTGCATTTTTCAATCTCCTAATAAGCAATTTTGTTGTCCCCGTTTACATCAGTAGTCACAAAAACAGGTTACTGTTTTACTTAGCTTTATAGGCAGTATTTATAATAATAGCAGTTTGAAAATAAAGGCATTTGATGATGTTTTCAGAGGTACAATGTTTAATAATGAAATAACTATAGTTCAATATACGTAGACAGATGCATGCAGTCTACTCTTGTACACATTTATTTTGTTAAGACTTCAATCTGACAAACATTTTATTGCTAATAACACAGACTACAAGAACTCCATGTCATCTAGCCAACTCTGAGCGCAACTAGTATTACACGCTTGGGATGCAAAGTACAACTCTCCCTGACTGCTGCCCCCATAGCTGCTCACAGTGATGAAGGATTTCTGGCGCTGAATATTGTCTCCAGATTATTATATTCAACCTACAGCATATCCTCTCAGATTGATTAATATGTGCAACATCTTCCCTTTCCTCTTGATACTAAATCTTGATACTAAATCTTTCTTCTTCCTCCTCCCCGGAATTTTCATCTCAGAGGTCTAAGTTCTTCAGGGGCTTCACAAACGTCATTTTAATTCAGACAGGAACCCATGCAGTGAGCAATGAATCAAGACCATGGCTGTGAATCTTGAAGCAATGTATGCTTACAGCCCTAAAAATAATGATTCATTACACAGATTAAGCCAAGCGTTTCCCAACTAACTCTGCCTATCCTCAGAGATGTTACAAAAAGGATTGTAGTAGTAGCTGGGAGTGGGGAGAGAGAAGGTGGTTTTGCAGCACTAAAAGTGAACAACATTAAAAATACAGATGAGATCTTTGTATTCCTATTAAAAAATATAGTCAAAATTGTTAATATATGGTTAACTAAGCAGTGAATGACAGACTGTCAAAATAATTGCTTGGGGAACAAAAAATCTAAATTAAAAAGTTTACGTGTGGTTTTATGAGTAAGCCATCATTCGAAGAAAAAAAAACCTAAAACTAAAACCAAGGCTGTTTCATTTGCCTCAAAAAAGAAAAATCACTGCAAAGAGTCAGAGGCTCTAGAGACCATCGCTATATGCAGGAACCTCCACGTGTTGGGAATAACTGAAGGAAACTGTACTGTGGAATTCATGGAGGAAACATGGAATTTATTGGTGGATTTGTTGGAAACCTCCCCACCGCAGACTGAAAAAGCATAGAGGACATCAGACCACATGTGGGCATTTACGGCAGTATTAAGAATTTTTCTGTAACCAATGCGAGGAAGAAATGCAGCATACAATTATTGTGACTGTCATACTTCCTGGCTGTAGACTTTTGACACAAAATGATGGAAGAAGGAAGCTGATTCTTTAGAAAAGATTCTTTTCCAGGTGTGCAAAGGAGCAGCAAAACTTTGCCAATAAAATTGGTAAAATACAACCTCCTGAATCTCGGATTTTCTTCTAGAGTAAACGTGTAGGCTGCTTGTCAGGTAACTCACTAGTCCTCCACAAGGAATGATCATTACAATAATAATAG